GCAAGTTGAAACCCAATTTTTCCAGCACCATTTATTAAAGAGGCTATCTTTCCTCCAGTGAGGGTGTTTGGCTCCTTTGTCGAAGATGAGGTTGCGAGTGTGTCTGGAGTTGTTTCTGCACCTTCTAATCTATTCCACTGGTCCTCAGGTCTGTTTCTTTGCCAGTACCATGCTGTTTTTATCAGAGTAGCATTGTAGTATAGTTTCAAGTTGGGGGTTGTGATACCCCCCTGCTATGTTTCTGTTACCTAGAATTGCTTTTGCTATTCTAGGTCTCTTCTTGTTCTGAATGAATTTTTGGATTGTTTTCTCAAGGTCTGTGTGAAGTAAGCTGCTGGGATTACAATTGGGATTGCATGGAATCTATATAGCAGTCTTTGAAGTATGGCCATTTTCACTATGTTGACTCTTCCTACCCAGGAGCAAGGAATGTCTTTCCTTTTTCTGATATCGTCTTCAATCTCTCTTTTCAGAGTGCTATAGTTTTCAGAGAAAACTTTTCTTTTGTTAGGCTGATTCCTAGGTATTTCAGTTTTTCCATGCTGTTGGGAAAGGAATTATTTGCCCTATTTCTCTCTCAGTGAGTCTGTTTTTCATGTAGAGGAAAACTATTGATATTTGTGTGTTGACCTTGTATCCAGCTACTTTAGTGAATTTGGTTACTAAATCTAGAAGACTTTTGGTGGAGTTCTTGGGGTCTTCTATATAAAGTATCATGTCATCTGCAAATAATGACAATTTGACTTCTTCATTTCCTATCATTATTCCTTTTATTTCTTTTTTTGTCGAATTGATGTAGCTAACGTTTCCAAAACTCTATTGAACAGGAGTGGTGATAGTGGACATCCTTGTCTTGTTCCTGATTTTAGTGTGAAGGATTTCAGTTTCTGACCATTTAGTATGATATCGGCTATTGGTTTTTCATGGATGGCTTTTATCAGATTGAGGTAGAGACCATCTATTGCAATTTTTTGTAGGATTTTTATCATAAAGGCATGGTGGATTTTGTCAAATGCATTTCCTGCACCAATTGAGATGATCATATGACTTTTGTCCTTGGCTCTATTGATACAATGTATTACATTTATTGAATTGCATATGTTGAACCATCCCTGCATCCCTAGGATGAATCCCACTTAGTCAGGGTGTATGATCTCCTTGATGATCTTCTGCATTCTATTTGCCAGTATCTTAGTAAGGATTTTTGCATCTATGTTCATTAGTGAGATTGGCCTATAGTTCTCTTTTTCTGTTAGGTCTTTCTCTGCTTTGGGGATCAAGGTGATGCTTTATTACCAGGAATGAATTCAGTAGTATTGCTTCCCTTTCAATTTCATTGAAGATTTCAAAAGTACTGGCAGTAGTTCCTCTCTAAATGTCTTGTAGAATTCAGCAGTGAAGCCGTCAGGACCTGGGTTTTTCTTATTAAGTTTTTAATTATGTTTTCAATTTCATTGATTGATACTGGGTTGTTTGGAATTTTTCAGTCTTCTTCGATCAATTTTGGTAATTAATATGTATCTAGGAATCTGTCCATTTATTCTGTGATTTCCATTTTCTTGGTGTATAGGTTCTCAAAGTAGGTATTGATAAACTCTGGATTTCTGCTGGGTCTGTTGTAATTTCATCCTTTTCATTCCTAATTACATGGATTTTTGCCTTTTCATTCCTTTTTCTGATAAGATTGGCTAAGGGTTTGTCAATTTTGTTGATTCTTTCGAAGAACCAACTCTTGGCTTCATTGATTTTTTTGTATCAT